TTGAATAATATTATTTGTTGTTAATCAATATGAGAAAATAGATTTAAAAAGTTCCAATTATGTGCCAAAAATCCCCCCCCCCCTTTATCAAACCTAATTTACATCATTAATTTAATTCTGTAGTTTAATTTCCGACTGGTAATGAATTAAGAATATGAAATACCTATAAAATGGAGGCCCATGGGTCACATGGTCACTAGCTGCAAGTCTGTAGCGTTATGGTTTTATATATTAGTCTTTGACTGCAGATCCTGTAATGCAAAAAGGTGCAATTTACGGCGCAATATTTTTTGCGCACTTCTGGGGAGACTTTCTCCACTTTCCAGCATCGGTCAATTTACTACCTTTCACTCCCTAATTCTAGGCACATTATTTAATCAATCTGTATATTTTATCCATCTCCCAACCCTTTATAGTCGTCTCTACTCGAGATAAACTCGCTTGATTAAAATTATTTGTTAGATTGCTGAAAATTCACATCAAGCGAGTTTATTGCCTGTAGAGATTACTATAAATGGCTGGGAGGTGGACAAAATATACATATTGGCCAGAGAATGTGTCTAAAATTAGGGAGTGAAAGGTAGTTGATTGCCTAATGCAAGAAAGTGGAGAAATTCTGCCCAAAAGTGCTAAAAAAATATTGCGCGTAAATTGCACTTTTTTTGCATATGGGGATCTGTAGCGTTATGATCAAAGACAAATATATAAAACCAGATCTGCAGCTACATGGTCACCTGAGCATATTATGCTCAATTTGATGAATACATGTATTATGTAAATTATTGAATTATATTGACTATTCATTGGCGGATCCAGAGGGGGGGGGGGGTCCGGGGGCTGGAACCCCCCTTTATTTTTTGCCAAGTGGAGAGAGAGAGAGAGAGAGAGGATAAAAAGTTTTCTTAGATTATATATTTATAAGTCTTACTTATTTTTTGAATAGATAGATTCTCACACATTTAGTTTCCACCAATCACCTTCTCTATTATATTTTTTATGAGAGAATGGTTGCGAGGTTTAATTTGATATTAGATTCCCTCGATCTTTGGCTGTGTTGGCTAAATATGTACCGTTTTTATCATATCTTGATCAATTGAACGAACTAACAGGTAACTCTTTGTTTTAAAGCCCACCCACACCCCACCCCAAAAAGGTTTTTCAAATTCTTAAAGAAAATTCTTTATAATCTTCAACAGTGAAACGAATCCATTCAATTTTAAGGCTTCCGTAATTTTTGATTTTTTTTTTTTTTTTTTTTTGCTTTGTTTTTATTTTGTTCGGAATGGGGGTACGCTTTTTTTTGAAGGACATAAAACATAGATAGTATTTACCACAACCTTAGATCTTTCCATACAAGTCTGTGAATCTTTGCTTGAGAATATGTAGGGGGTTAGAGGGGCATAACCCTGGAACCCCCCCTTTCAAAAATTGCTGGATCCGCCCCTGCTTTTTCCTTGGTAAAGCCCAATATGAAGAAGTGTGCATTTAGAGGCAAACACCTTAGTGCGGGTATTACTGTCTCATGACAGCATCTAGTTTAACTTTCAAATAGTTATGCTACATGCCATTAATATGTACAAAGTTTAAAATATTCCTGTCATTCTAAATATTTCTTGTGATTGAGAAATATTCCAAGTGTTTGTCTCTGTTACTTATTATAAATTATATTTCAAAAGGTAGACATTGTTGTTTAGAAAATTAAGACAAATTCAAAAGCATGATGCGAACCCTTTCTAGCTCTTCTATCATATTCATGTCATCCTCCTCAAAGTCAGACTCATCTGAATTTTCTGCCACATATACATGTATGTCACCATGCTCACTGGTATCAAAGAAGTCTTCTTCAAATATGCCATCTTCGAACACCTAATAAAAATAAACACCTTGACAATAATGAATTGTTAACTTTTTAGTTTATAACAATATATCAGTTTTAAACTACATGTAAAAAACTGTTTAATACACTGTAAATGAATAATGCATTTACCGGTAGTTGATAGCATAAATAATTTTTCTTTACATAAGTAAAAGCATGCTTTATACAAATTCGTTATCAACATACTTTTTGGCAGCAAGATAGATCTCCTATGGCAACAACCCCCAAGGATGAACAGTAATCATTCACAGCCTGAGGGTGCTGTTTGCAGCACTTTGGATCGTAGTTCCTCACACAGAGCCCTCCACGGTCTGTAGAACGCCCAACTGCCACACCCATCTGACCTGCTTGGAAAATATTTTTGCAATCCACAACTACATTAGGTAAAGTTAGCCCTTGGGACTTATGAACAGTCATGGCAAAAGCCAGAGCAATAGGAAATTGTTTTCTTTGTGCTATTGTTGCACACTGTGCAGGGTCAAATACACTAAATGTAACCTTGTTTAGTTTAATTATTTTGTCTTCAAATTTCACAGTTGGACCATCGTCCTCTAACCTTAGCACAGTTCCCAGTAACCCATTAACTAGAGAGTCAGAGAGATTTCTAATCAGCATGACTGGGGCACCTTCTTTAAGTAAAAGAAGTTTATTTGCGATTATCTTTCTTAGATATTTCTGCTCCCCTTCTTCATCAGCACAGTAACTTGTTGGTTCTCCTGGCATTTTGTGCAGTTCTGTCATGTTGAAACAATCCACTTCAAAATTTGTACCAAATAGAAAACAGGGACTGCTTTTTGTCGAAGGTCTCTCTAAGGCAAGCATCAACTGGTTTGTTTGGTGACTTGGAACACCCCGCTCTAACTCATTGATGGCTAGGATCAAGTCCTCATCACTCTGACGAATTACTGTTTTAAGTGTTATGATGTGTGTGATCGTCTTTGTCCATACATCTGAAGTAAACGCATGATCTCCAGGATCCCTGTATAAGTCATTTGGGACGGGTGGTAATTGGAAGAAATCACCCACACACACAACCTATGAATAATTGGGAATTTTAAAAAAATATTTTAAGAACAGAATATTATTGTATATTTATCTTCTTTTCTGCAAAATGCCATGATTCTCACAAACTAGACTTGTATTACACATATTAAAATCATAGGCTATCTAGTGTTTTATGACAATAATCACCTTTTACCGGTATTTACATGTTTATTAGTTTGCCTATCATTTACCATTATCCTTTATAATATATGGAACCTATTTTCTAGGTTTAATCAACAGCAATATCTAAAGCTATGCAATTTTTAGTGCATTGATGATTCAAATTACTAACCTGCAATCCACCAAAATATAGGCTTGGTTCCTTAACTGACCTGCAGATGAATTCTAGCTAAATAAAGAAAATAGACGATTATATATAGTTGAGCGGGGAATAACTAAGATTTACAGTAAGATTGGAAAGAGCTATTGCTGCACTGCATCGTTCAATATACTTTGAAATCGATATGCATTTTACAAATAATGATATAAACAACCGCTTGGCAGTAAGTGAGTAACATACATGTACATGTACAGTAATCAGGCAATGGGCCTTATATAATCAGGTACAGTCCAAAGACTATTTCTACCTCTGTAGCTATTAATAGCTATGTAGGTATTTCAACAAATGAGATAACTCTAAGGAATGTGAAATTCGTCTATTAGGCCTACCTACTTTAGTATTTATATGTAAACAGTACCTCCTCAACATAAACAAATGAGCACTGAGTTTTACACGGATGTCGGTGCAAACATTCTCAGTATAAAACTAGATTATTCTAAGAGCTCTCTGAGTCTCATAAATTTTGTAAGGTTATCTAAGAGATAGATATGGCCTAGTATGTTTTTACTATCTCCCAGAAACCGGAAATACTGTCTGCTACGTAAAAACAAAATCGGAACGGGCCTATAACGTTAATATTTGTGATAGTTACCCATGGTAATGCTTATATAATTGCACTTTATAAGAAAATACACAGGGTAATATTTATGGCAACATTCTCATTTTCTCAAACAAAATTATACACACCTTCTCAAAAATTTTCCTACTGATCATAGATATTTCATCTATGACTAGCAAGTCGCATTTCTGAATTCTGCTCTTGGTTTCTTCACTGAGGATTTTTAATAAGTGCTGGTTTTCAAACCTTCCATCTCCTAGCCCTGCCCAGTGGTGAATAGTTGTGGCGCCTTGGAATTGTCGTGCCGCCAAACCCGTGCTAGCGGTTACGGATGCACGTTTGTCTTTAATTCTTTTAAGCATTTCCTTTATTAGATATGACTTTCCCGTCCCCGCCTGCCCCAAAATTACACAACTATGTCCACTTTCAATTAAATTCAATGCCCTCGACTGTTCTTTGGTAAGCATGGTGCTTTTCCCGCAAAGCTTCTATTCTGTTTCAATATGTTAACCAATCAGATTCATGCAGGGAATTCCCATTAACATAATGATGTAAACTTCCGGCCCCCTTTGGCGATTTTTCGCATATCTGAAGCAGTAGATAGAAAACGAGGAGAGATTTTAATTAATTGCAAACGAAATGTGCTGATTTGGTTGAATAGGTCGTAAGTATAGATGTTGAAGGACCTGCCGCTACACGGAGAGGATCGCAAAATTATCTTGTCATTCCGTTTCGAGCGAAAAATCGTGCTGATGTGGCTGGCCTAAAAAAATTCAAGATGGCGCCTTGGGTACCTTGTTTATTATAAGATAAGGGTATAATTTTTTTTATTAAAAGAAAAATAAGTAACGTCAGGTGCCTGTGGGTAGTGGCACTATATTGATTATTGCTGAATATTACTGATTAGTCGAAATGCATTTTTGTTCCCCTACTCTGTCTGTGGGTATTAAGTAACCAAACTAAACATGCTAAGTGTATAGTTATGATGTCTTTTTCAAAATTGTGAATGCCATGGTGTCTAGTTTAAAACATGAACCAATGTCAATCATTGTAAAGTTGTTGCATGATGCTCAGGTGACCTATAAGGCCCATGGGCCTCTTGTTTTTCATTTATTCACAAGATAATTTTGCCCTGCGGAGACCAGCATGGCAGGAACACGGTTATCCAGGTCATTCTTCAGACTGGGGAGCCTCTAAGGCAGTAGATGGGAAGTATTCTAACCGCTCAGTATGGGGAAACCAATGCACATTATCGGCAAACGATCAAGTGAGGGCAAAATGGTATGTAGATCTAGGGAGGATAGTCAGCATCAGTCACATCCACATCTACTACAGGACTGGTAATAAACCTAGTAAGTGTGATACATGTACTTGTTAGCTATTGTTACTTGAGAATCGGACATAATGTTGGTTTTTCTTTATGTTTAGGGGGCTTTTTTTCTTTAGCGTAAGAAAAAAAATGCAAAGGTTCATTTTATTCAAAGTTGGTAACAATAATGCTGCGCTTTTTTTTTCTTGAAATTGTAATTTGTATTTTAAATAACGTTCTATTTTAATGGCATGCCAAAATTGATGCGACTTTTCCTTGACATCATAGTTGTTTACAAGAAAGAAGCAATAGCATTCTTATCGAACATTTCAATCTATATAGGCCCTGGTGCATTCTACAGTCGATTTGCTGGTTTTTTCGTCTACATTTCAAATGATACTTCCAAAGACAACGGTATTGAATGTTTTCATGAAATACAGAAAAATAACGGTACACCCACAGAAAACCAAACTATAAGTTGTCCATTTGACGGACGTTATGTGATATACTACAACGAGAGGAGAGCTGGCTATCACTATCCAGACTACTACTCCGCATTTGCTTTTAATGAATTGTGTGAATTTGAAGTTTATGGTGAGTTTTGCATTTTCTGTTTCTGTTATACATGTAGATATACAACATGGATGTTTATAAAAGAAATAAACAATGATAACAGTGATATTATCTTTTTGGAACAGGATGTCCTAATTCTACATACTATGGAAAATATTGCGAACAATCGTGTTCGGACAGTTGCCTTGGACAGAGGTGTAATTTCTTAACAGGGAACTGTCTCATGGGATGTTCAAGTGGATATGAGGGGCCTCAATGTAGACAGAGTAAGTGGTGAATTAATATGCAGGTTTATTTTTGTGTAGGTAATAAATATATTACGTTTTAAGCAAAAACAGATGCAAAACTCTAGTGAAAGTTAGTACAAGTTATTTACTAATTTATTTGTTAACAATTTTTATTAGAACCTTTCCGAAATAAATGTAATGAAATATATGACACAGAGAGGAAATATATACATGTGTACATTGTGTTTGTCTATTTCTTTTAACTTTCTGCATCGCATGTATTTGTTCTGATAAGTTGTGTTATACATGTATACATTGTACACCATAGTAAATAACTAACTCAGAGAGCGATATTTTTTTTCTTCTTAAACGCGGATCTTATATGTACAATACAATTAATCATTCTATAATTATCAAAAAGAATGTGACGGTGGAATGTTTGGAGCAACCTGCAGTCAAAAATGTGGTCATTGTTATGGTAATACACAGTGTCATCATATCAACGGCACATGTCAAGCAGGATGTTCTGCCGGATATGTTGGATCTCTTTGCAACAATAGTAAGAAAAACTATATCGTCAACGTCTAATAAAGATCAGTGTCAAGTTTTTTCTCAATCACGTAAATATTGTGTTAATGGCATTGCATGAAACGCCAACTAAAATGGTAAACACATTTGGCATATTTGATTTTCTGGGAATAGACATTGACAGTTGACATACAGATGTATAGAAAAAAACAAAAATCATTCCAATTAGCTTTTTATATGAGATTTACTAAATACTGGATACTTTTTGGTAGAATGTGTGGGTGGAACCTACGGATTGATGTGTAACAAAACTTGTAAACTCTGTTCTGATGGATCAAAATGTCACCATGTGAATGGTTCATGCGTGAATGAATGTTCTTCAGGATATAAAAGTCCTTTCTGTATCACAGGTAACTGATTGACAGCGTTTTCAGATACATATATTTTGTTGCATTATCACACCAACTAATGATTTCATTCCTCTTTTAAGAATAAAGAGTGAATACATGAACGTATGATTATTTTTCTTGCATTTATCAAAAGTACTTATATATACGTGTTTACTCATTAATAATTTTTTAGACGTGCTTAGGATTTGATCATAAAAATATCATATATTTTAAGAATGTGACAGTGGATTGTTTGGCGATGGTTGCAGGCAGACTTGCGGTCATTGTGTTGGTAACGTAGCGTGTCATCATATCAATGGTTCCTGTCTACAAGGATGTTCTGCCGGATACGAGGGTCCTGTTTGTAAGAAAAGTAAGAACTAGGAATATTTGGTACACTTGCTTAAAATATAAACATTGGACCAACTTTAAAATAATGTATGCTTAGCCTCTCTAGACTTGATGGTAAAATATTTCGTCGTTAGGTGGGGGAAAATCTTTTTTCCAGAACATATTTGTTGACGGAATATGATACAATGTACATATATAAAAAAAGAACATGAAAAGTTAATCCATTTTTAGTCATCGATGTGGATTGAAATATGTTTACTTAAGTTTGAAATGATGCAAATAAAGCAGACAGAATATTTTTTTTAATTGAATTTTTTTTTATGATGTTTGAATTGATGTGATTTATATATCTCCTTTCTTTAATATACTTATTTATTAATAACTTCACTTGATGAAATGAAAAAAAGGGCTTTCTGTTGAAAGTGTGCCATATTTCAACCGAGTTAAATGTCTTGATTAAACACCTTCAAGTTGTTTTAACCTCCAGGTATATATTTAAAATTAATTTTTGTTACCTTGTCCAATTATTAACTATTTCAGCTTCAAATTTGCGTTTAAGAGTAAAAAAGACTCCCCTACATATCTTAATGTTTTTGATTTTTCCTGAGCCAGGAAAGGACAAGTTTACATTTAAAAAAATACATGATTTGTATTGTTTTTATTTACAGAATGTGACGGTGGGAGATATGGTTTGAACTGTGCCAAGAGCTGTGGTCACTGTCGTGACGGCTCACAGTGTCATCATATCAATGGAACGTGCTTGACAGGCTGTTCTCCCGGATACAACGGATTACTCTGCATTAGTGGTTATTTATATTAATTAAACTTTATTTCTTATTAAAAACGAAAATCAGCCATGAGCACTTTATACACTATAACATGTTCCAAAGCAAATCAAAAGTAAAATGTCAATATTATTTGAATTTTAATGTTCTTTCTGTACCTAAATCCTGCAAAGATGAATAATTGAATATGTATCTAAAAGTAGCAACACACAAAGCCCTACAAAACTACTCTATACTTAATATATATTATACACAGCGAAAGAAATCAAGAGATCTAAAATGTAATTTTATAATGAATTTCCTGATTTATATTACTTAGAATGTAATGGTGGGACCTATGGTAATAACTGCAGCCAAAGCTGTGGAAATTGTCTACAGGGTACACAGTGCCACCATGTTAATGGTACCTGTTTACAAGGGTGTTCAACTGGATACAAAGGATTGGTTTGTACACAGCGTAAGAAACCTTTTTCATGCTTTAAATTTAGATTCTTTTATTTTTCTTTATTCTTTTCAACTCTTAGCAGATTACCTTATTTCGTTTCCTTTTTGAAATGTTGATTTTTTATTTACGACTATATGATCAAAGAATAGGGATCATATCATATCGTGCCTGACAGGATGTTCTCCCGGATACAACGGATTACTCTGCATTAGTGGTGATTTATATTAATTAAACTTTATTTTGTCTAATTAAACGCTCAGAGCAGGCATGATCAATGAACAACAAGATCAAAAGTAAATCAAGAGTAAAATGTCAACGTCATCGTGTATTTTGTTCATTAAAAAAGTCAACAGTAATTTAAATGCATTTTTTTGTATTATGTTTTTAAATAATTCCTGCAAAGATAAACCCTAAAGTAGTAATTTTACAAACTATTTTTAAAGAACTTACATGTTTCTTAAAATCTGCCAGTATTAAACTTCAAATTCAGCCCTTTAAAAATACTCTATACTTATTATATTAAACACAGGTAAAAAATATCAAAAGATCTTATATGATTTCTTATTATTACTTAATTTGTTTAACTTCAGGGCCGTAACTATCTTGAGCGGGACGTAAAATTATAAACAATATTACAACACGCAAGGGACGATGAGGACCTACTCTAAGTAACTAAGATCATTACGGGTCCCCATTCAGTCGCCTTTTACGACACACACTCCCCATTCAGTCGCCCCTTATTACGACACACAGTCTTCATTCAGTCGCCTTTTACTGTTTTACTGCAGTCAAACAGTAAAAAAGTGGTAAGCATTCTCAAAATCAAGGAAATGGTCCAAAATTGAGCCGTTTGAAGCATTTTTTTGGGGGGGGGGAAGCTTCGCCCCCCGCACCCCCGATCTTTGGGGGCCTCAATCGGCGGCGCCCAAACCCCCGCCTCCTCTATCTTTTATCCCTACTTACGGCCCTGAAAGGCGTACATACCAGTAATGTAATATTTAAAAAAAAACTTAATCATACTTTATTTATATGCATCATTTAAACATACATCAATACAAAAAATAAAGGCCTTTAATTGTTCGTTATTTGAGGAGCTCGTGCTGCAGATACATGTATATCAGAATAAGTTTAAATTATATGCTTACAACTGCACCATTAATTCATATTTTTAAATTCATAGAAAGTATTGTTTAATTGTTCATCAATATATATTTTCAGACAAACACTTTGATAGAGAAAGAAGGAAACTTATAGGTGAGGGCTATGAAAACTTAATGAATTTATCTTATACTAATATTTCTTGCAATATTTTGAAATTTTGATGCAAATTTCCTTAAACAGTGGTGTACTGAAAAAAGGAACAATTTCTTTTAATTGTAACAGTTACTGAGGAAGGAAAAAGCGCACAAACTGTTTGAAACTACAGTTTGTTGCGAGGCGATAATGTTTAAAAGGAATAACAATTTATTATATATATTTCATGAAGAAAATTTTATTGTTCCAACTAAATAAAAAATTGACATAGGTTTGAATATTGAGTATGTTGAGTTTTGTGCATCAAACAATCTGTACATTTTATTCACCTCTCAACCCTTTAGATCTCTACAGTGAATTTTCAGCAATCCAACAAATAATTCTATTCACACAAGTAAGGCTAAGGTTAACGAATATGTCAAGAATATGGGAGTGAACGGTAGTTGATTGCCCTATGCTGGAAAGTGGAGAAATTCTCCCCAAAAGTGCGCAGAAAAACCTGCGCCGTAAATTACACATTATTTGAATTAAGGGATCTGTAACGTTATTGTGAACCACAAATAACTTCAGTTCAGAAGCTAAAATAAGAGAAGGTTTGGGTAAATACGTTAACCCTATGAAACCAATTATATCATTAAAAGTCAAGTTTTCACAAATACAATGACCTCTCAAGGAAAATAAAATATTGCCTACTTTAATGTTGATTTACGTTCTTCATACTAACATTTGAGCCAAGTTTTTTACAATAAATTGTCAACGGATTTTCTTTTTCTCCATAATTTTTTTATTTCATAAAATTTGTTTGCATGAACAGCTCCCCAAGATGGGCGTGCATAAGACATGGAACCAAAACGTATTGAGTTTTTGGTTATGAACAAATTGGTCTAAAATAACTAATAGCTTGTAAAAGTTTTTTTTGGTTCGGCTCAATTGAGCTTTTCTGATCACATTTTGTCCGGCGTCCGTATGTCCGTCTATCTGTAGACTTTTCACATTTTCGACTTCTTCTTAAGCCAAAAATGCTGATATATATGTGTTCTCTTGTTTCTCTGGTTTTAACATAATAAAGTCTTTGGTAAATATTGTTTTGAAAACATTAATCAATACAGTTGCAAATAACTCAACAATATTTTTTTTTCTTTTTTCTATTCTATTTTGATAGAACATCGGCATTATCACATAACATGACAACCATCACGATATCGTCTTTTTAGGTCACCTGAGTAAACTCAGGTGACCTATTGCTATCTGTTTTCGTCCGTCGTCGTGCGTCGTGCGTCGTCCGTCGTCCGTCGTGCGTTAACATTTGAACATTTTCAGCTTCTTCTCAGCAACCACTGAACCAATTTCAACCAAATTTGGCACAAAGCATCTATGGGTAAAGGGGAACAAAAATTTTGAATTTCATGATCCTTGCCCCCCTGGGGCCTTGGGGGTGGGGCCAAAACCACTAAAATTAATGCAATCTTTAAAAATCTTCTTCTTTACTCCTGGACATCAAGCAGTCAAACTGTTTGCATGATTGTAATCAGCAATGAGTCCTCTACCAAAATTGTGAAATTCATGGCCCTGGGGTCAGGGGTTCTAGTGCTAGGGCGGGGCTAAATAAGTAGGTAGTGAAAATGCATTATTTCTTTGAAAATCTTATTCTCTGCTCCTGGGTATTAAATAAACCAACTAAGTACATATTTATGATGAGCAAGAGTGCCTTTACCAAAATTGTGAATTTTATGGCCCCAGGGTCAGGGGTTCTGGTGTTAGGGTGGGGCTCTATTGATTATATACAGTGAAAATACATGATTTATTTGAAAATCTACTTCTCTGCTCCTGGGTATTAAATAAACTAACTAAGTACATAGTTATGATGAGCAAGAGTGCCTCTACCAAAATTGTGAATTTTATGGCCCCAGGGTCAGGGGTTCTTGTTTTGGGGGGGGGGGGGGCTCTAATGATTGTATAGTGAAATGCATGAATTCTTTGAACATCTAATCCTTTGCTCCTGGTTAATATACAATACTAATGATCTAATTACATATTTAAGACCAGGATTTATTTTATTTGCAGTTTTACAAACCCTGCGCTCAAGGTTTTGAATTTTCAGAAAAAAATATTTTTTTTCTTTCCGATGTCAAATTTGAGTCGGGATCGAGATTTCAAATTTACGAACTCGCACTTCCGGTTTTATAGATGAAACGCCACAAACGGCGGGTAAATAAAGCCAGATGTTCTGAGAAGATAGCTTGGTTTAGTGTAAAATTCTTTGATACGAATGCCATTCAAAACGTTTCACCCATTCAAAGGACAAATAAAATGCTGACGACTTTGTTGCACAATGACATGCTGGTGAGTTAATTATGTATTCGTTTCAGAAGTATCTGTGTAAATTATTTTCCTCCCCCAGGTTTTAAACTGCCCGTGGTAGCAATTGCATATTGCCAGCGACATTGTTATTTTCACAATGTCTACACATACACTAACATATATTATAAAAATAGATATATTGAAAGACTTTATGATTTCGGCTCTACTGGTCAGTTGCCAGAAGGTTACTAAACATAGAATTTTCTTTGAAGTTCCGGCTGTAAACAATTTTTCAAAACGCTACTCCTCCTACAGTTTTGGTCTGATTTCAATATTACTTGGCACACAAGTAGACTACACTAAGATACATAAAATAGTGCACCGGTTTTTGATTTCGGTGAACGGTGTTGCCATGGTTACTAAAAATAGAATTTTCTTTGAAATTCCTTTAAAACGCTACTCCTCCTACAGTTTTGATTTGACTTCAATCTTACTTGGCACACAAGTAGACTACACTAAGATACATTAAATAGTGCATCGGTTTATGATTTCGGTGAACGGTGTTGCCATGGTTACTAAACATAGAATTTTCTTTGAAGTTCCTTTAAAATGCTACTCCTCCTACAGTTTTGGTCTGATTTCAATATTACTTGGCACACAAGTAGACTACACTAAGATACATAAAATAGTGCATCGGTTTAACTTTTGAATGGTAGGTACTAGGACTTTCGTATTTCACATATGTAGCAAGACCTTTTATTGGATACCAACAACTTTGACCGTTTGACCTTGACCTTGGAGTTTTCCGTACTTATGAGAAAACTTTAACCTTGACCATAACTATTGATTGGTAAAGGCTAGGGCTTTCGTACTTCATGTATATAATTCTTGTGAAAGACCTTTCATTGAATATGTATAACTTTGCCCCCTTGGACCTTGACCTTGGAATTTGACCTACTTTTCAAAAACTTTGACCTTGGCCACAACTTTTGAACAGTAGATACCAGGACTTTCATATTTCATATATGTATTCTT